AGCATGGTGGATGCTGTGTCGTCTATGAAGATGGCAGATAACTGCATCAGTCCTCATGTGCCTGATTCAACCTGCTTGCTTTCTGCAAAATACTGATCCCTAATCAGTGAAAATGCCATGAGCAACAAGAACGCTTATAGGATAGGATTTTTTAATTATGTTTCTCTTATTGAGTCTGCAAAAGTTTTTTTTTAAGTGTCAGTTGCTGAATAATGTTCTTATTGTCACTTTATTGCAGGGCTGGTTAATTTTCTGCTGGGTTTTAATCCTTCATAAGAAAAACAGATTTTACCTCTTTGGTCACCTTATTTAGATTGTTTAAAGCAAAAGAAGAGCACAGAGTTGTTCACAGTAAATATTTCCTAATACTTGTAAAATCATAATTGCATATGAAACGTTGTGTTTCCTGCACTGACACTAGAATACAATTATGAATTACATTTTTAGGTAAAAAGGCCAAAAATATTAAGATGTTTTTCTTTGCACATAAAACTAAAGTAGTAGTTATTTTTGTTTCTGTAGCATATCAGATCTGTCTTTGTCTTCTCCCCTCTCTGGCTCTCCTCCCTCCCCTTGTCTCTCTCCACATCCTCTCTTCCTTGCAGCATCCCCCCAGTCCCCCTCAGCTCCCCTCACTCATGCGTTCCCCTCCCTTCTTTATGTTCGAGGACAGACATTTGCCACCGGGGAGCCTGCACCGATAATTACTCCCAGATCAACTGTGCATCTAGGCAACAGCTCACAGGAAGAAAAGGGAGAGTGAGGAACTGAGGATGGGGGTGAAAAGGAAATCGCAGTTCCTCTGAACATCATTTTAGGGGATTTTTTTTCCATGCATCAGTTTACATCCAGTGATATTGTTTACATCGGCATTGTTGGCTGGGTCAGCCTGTTATAAATCAAAGCAAGGGTGCAGCTCGTGTTGGGTGTGGAGCAGAGCCAGACAGGCCATAACTGCTGCCGACGGTCAAGGTCTCCATGTTCACAGACGTGCACCGTCTTTATGAAGCTGCTCCTTCATCTTCTGAATAATAAAAGAACAATGCTGCAACCTTCTGTGAGGGCAAGTCTGGGTAAAGGTGACAAAATCTGCAAGCTTACAGCTCGGAAAGGGCTAATGATGCAAACATTACTGAATACAGAATCCACTCGACATGTGCAGTAGCAGCAATTATGAGAAAGGCTTTATTTGAACCCTAACTATAGTGCAATATTCTCATTAAGGCTGCAGGACTTTTAAAATCTCATTCTGTGAAAAGCACCACTCTGTTATCCAGAGACATTAAAGGTCCTTTACACCTCTGAGTCTTTTGTTGTGTTTATTTTGTTTTAATTTTATCCCTTTTAAGCTGACAATGGATTTTCTGCTGACCACGCCCCTTTTCAGAAGGAGACAGAAGAGAAAATGCAGACATAGATGAGACTATTTTTGTGTGCAAATGGTTGAATTTTCAGTGTAGAATAGCTTTTCTTACTTTGGTGTTATTTTATTACATTTATTAAAACACAGGACATCATTCAAACTGACAGTTTCGTCATTTTGTGTTAATATGTTTGGAAATAGAGGTCGACTGATATTGTTTTGTCTATTGTTGATACCGATGTTGATACGTAGAGGTCGCGGCCAGCTGATGGGTGATATGTGCTGCTGATGTTTTGGGCCGATATCTAGATGTTTTCCACCTTATTAAGATGTGAAAATGTCACTAATGATATCGGTTGATGCACAAACGTTCTGAAGCCGCATCCATTTTTGAACTCTGAATTCATTCAACTGTTAAATCTTAATCTTGCTCAATGTTGGAATCAGACATCTAACTAAAGTTAATCAAAAAAATCAGTTTACTGACCAGTGTGAGTCCATGTCAGGTGAGCAGAGTAAATCAACTAAAATGCTGCTTGGAAATGACCTACGGTAATTCAAAGATGTTTAGAGACAAAATACTGGCAGAAAATAATAAATAACTAAAATATAAAAAATCAAATCTGCTTCAGCTGGCTAAATAAATTACTGCTGAAGCCGAGAGTCGAACCGGCGTCAGCTCATGGCAAAACAAGATGAAAGGCAATTCAGTTGAGTTTAGCTTATTTTTTTTATAAAGCCCCTTATCAGCAGACCAAGGTGCTGAACAACCACAAAACACGTGATACCAACAAATATTGTGTCGTGGAACTTTAAAAAGAAAGATTAAAAATAAAAACAGTCATAAAATATTAAGAGAACATCGAAAAAACAGGAAACAATCATAAAAATACGTTAAACAAGATAAAAAATAAACAATAAAAGATAATGGCAATGCTGGGATCTCTAATGCTGAAACGCCATCACATAAAAACGAGTCTCCAAGTGAGACGTAAAAATCAGAAGCATATGGCGCCTACCTAATGCTCAAAAACAACTCCTTCCAGAGCGGTGGAACCAGAACCGAGAGCACAATTGCTTTAACCCCTGGACTACCGAGGCCAACAGAACAGCAGACTTGCCTAAACGCTGATGTAGGTCCATTTTGTCGGAGCGGGTGTGGGCGGAGCTTCACTGAAACAAACTAATTCATTTCAGGGTTAAAATTCAGGCTGACCATAATAAATCATATTTAAGATAAATAACATCTCAGTAGTGCCAAAGGTAATATTTTAATACATGCTGTGCCAATATTTGCTCTCAAAGATTTAAAGTAACATGATGTGGCTCATTTAACAGAACTCTACAGAGTTTCTTACAAGTAGTTGAGTCGATTTAGAGTGAGCGGAAACGCCGCACCTTTAATGTGCTGATCTCAATGGCTTAGCCAGCCAAAAGAGAGACTGGCACTTTTTAAGTCCATAAAAATGATGAAAGCTTGTGCAACCAACTCTCACTCCCAGAGCAGTAGTCAGATAAACTATCCAAGCGAAAAAAAATCAAAAATAAACTTACACAAACAATGCATTTAATCTATGAACTAATTTTTGTAACATTAACAAAAATCATTCAAAAAATTAGAATAAAGGTTTTGCATGCTGCTCAACACCTTTCACCCGCAGGTTTTAAACAAAACATCTAAAGTTTCAAAAGGACCAAAATGACAAACCAATAGTGCTGATTAGCCATCTAAAAGCTGCAAATCTGCCAACAAGCTAGCCTTTAAATGCTAACACGGTCACAGAACACACCCCTCCTGTTGGGTATCATTCCTAGGTCATGTCTGCTGGAACGGGAAACCCACCTTGCCAGAGCAAACGAGAAAGTGCTAAACACCATTTGCCGTTTCTTAAGTCCAAACTATTTACAAATCTGATCGTTTGTCCTAAATTTGAAGTGGTAGCAGCCGGCTGTTGCTCCTTCTCTGATATAATTGAGCGGAGAACCGCTCACACCAGTGGCGTTCTGTTGCTAACTACGCGAGAGCGTAATGAGTGGAGGAGGGAAGGGCGGTTGTCCAGTTAGACAACAACCGGATGATCCAATAATTGGTTTCGAACCAAGCCGTGTTATTGGCTGAGCTTGCTTAATTTATTTTTTGTTTAATTCTTTTAATCTTCACAATATATTTATAGCTATACAATGTTAGAACGTTGCTGAGAGGCAGATGAAAATCCAACAAAGACTTTTTGAAAGATTTATATTTGTCCAGTGGTTCATAAGATGTTTTGGTAAGGAACACACACCCTGACAGGCAAATAGACTGCCCACCTTTCTGAGGTGTACAACCAAAACCTCAAATAAGTAGAAGAAATGAGTCAAACTACTGACCAAACAAATGTTAAAGGGATACTAAGCAGTTGTGGCTTGCTTTTAGCACCCCCTAGTGTCTGTTTAGAATAACCAAACGCAAACCTTATCTCCTCGCTGTGCGTTCGTCTTTTTAATACCTCAATCTAAAAGCTGAAACAACTCCTCAGTCTTCCTTAGTGTCTACAGGAGTGATTCATCACTAAATCAAACAAATCAGCTGTGTTAATGATCTAAAACATGCAGGAAACGTGCTGGAAGCAGACTGCAGCTTTGGCATGCCAGCACCACTTATACTTTGTCCAACAGGCACTGGACGGGCTCTCTGAAGTTGCAAGTGCAATATTCTGGCCACAGAGGGCAGTGGGGCTCTGAATGATATTTCATTAACCCTGTAGGGTCATTTTAGCACATACTGGCTTAAGAAAACAATTTAAAACATGAAAAAGTTTCATAAAATGCCTTTAAAGGAAATTAGGAACTTAAATCCTCGAGGCAAATCTAGAACACAAGTCACACGACTGCAACAGACAGTGTCAGTATGCCTCAGGGCAGCTGTGGCTACAGCGTAGCTCATCACCACCAGCATGTGAATGAGTGAATGACTGATTGTGTTGTAAAACACCTTGGGGGTTCCAGGACTCTTGAAGGCGCTATATCAAATACAGGCCATTTACCATCTGACAACAAATGTACCCTAACAGCGCAAAAAAAGAAAAAAAAATGCTCCCACGCCCTCAGACGGCTGATATTTACCGTTGATTTTATATATCTTATCTTATATATAGCTGTTTTTAAGTCAGGCACAGCCGTGGGCAGTCTGGTGCTGAAGCAGTACATACATTTATGTTCCTGAAAAAAACTAAAAGTCTGCTTAATAAATGCTCAAAACAATATTGTTAACTGACTTTTTATTCACTTGTTTTGTTTATTTAATACGTGGTCAGTTCATTGATTTGTTTAATGAACTTTGGTTAAAAGTTGGATTTTAATGCAGAGCACATAATTAAGATTCAACAGCTGGTTATATTCAGAGACCAAAAACTGATCGGGCAGAAATGTTGTGCATCAGCAGTTATTAGTGACATTTTAGCAGGTGAAAAAGACAGAAAAATGTCAAAATGTCAGTCATGAAAGGTGACGCAAAAAAAAGCAGCACCTGTCAGCTGGTATCGGTGATAAAACCCCACATCAGTTGATCTCAAAGTCAGAGTTTCAATTGTTTCCCTCCCCTGTAAATCTGTCCCCAATTGAAATGATCAGAGCGGCCATCTTGTACTCCCATTACCTTTGACGTCTGCAGAGAAACGCGCCGAGTGTCTGGAGACAAACAACTTCAGCTCCTGGTCCAGGTTGCAGTCAATGAGGTTGGTGTCCCATGAGCGGATCCCTGCAACACACACACACACACACACACACACACACACACACACACACACACACACACACACACACACACACACACACACACACACACACACACACACACACACACACACACACAATTTGTCCTCTGGTTCTGGTTCATTGGAAGACCTTAGAATAAACATGTCTAGACTTGTTACTGATTTGATGTAAGCAAAAGGAAAATCTATACTAGGAAATATCTATATCGCTGCTTGAGCCTGACGGTCATCATTTTCCTGAGTCATCATACACCCTCTCCACATTTATGCAGTTTAAATGCTTAGTGGTGGCCCAATGAGACACAAAAAATATATTTTTTTCTAAGGAGGAACGTGCGTACTTTTGTCCAGTACACTGCACCCAAAACAGATTGCAATCATTTCGTTCATAAATATAAAGCAAAAAGTCCAAAGATTCAAAGATCAAAAGATTAGTTTGAATTTGTTTTATAAGCTAACATTCAAGAAAATTATATATGTTAAATATTAGTTTATAAACCCGTAACCTTCATTCAGTTTTTGTGCTAAATTGACTCTCCTTTACATCCACACAGCTACTGCGCCACAATCTTCTCGCTGCTTTCTAACAAAGTGCTTTCTGGCCTGCAGGCAGCAGCAGCAGCTCTGAACGCCCTGCTCAGCCTGAAGATAGGTCCTCGCGGGTTTCCGTAGGGACCGCAGTGCGGACAGGGCCACGCCCACAAGCCGGTGAGGGATGAGAGAGCTGGATGCGGGAGGATGGTGTGGATGATCAGGGAATTGATTTTAAAACAGATCCGTCAAAGCGGATGAGAAATTTTAATCTGAAATGAGAACACAAAGCGCACACGCACATCCCCCTCGCTGTCTCCTCCAGACTTTATAACAAAAGCCTGACGCGCCTGAATCTGTCTGTAATGGATCATCACAGAAAACGCGCAGAAATGCGCCAACAATGGCACCAAACAGGTGCAGAATCACCCCTTCACACGTGAGGATGACAAGAGAAAACAAGAAGATGCAGTAAGTAAACTGAGAATAACCCATCGATAATCTGTGCGTAATTGCGCCGTGCGTAAAAGCGAACAGGTGTGACCCTAATTTTAAAAGCCATAAAGATTCACTTTACGGCTTTAAGACCTAACTACTCCCCCCCCCCCCCCCCCCCACCCCACACACACACACCACCGCCACCCACCCCAAATAAATACATAAATAAAGCTCCACCACCTTTCTCTATGTCTGCAATGGCACACTTGAGGTGATCCTCTGTTACGATCTCCCCGATCACCACCAGCAGGTAGAATTTGCTGTCGTTGAAGTGCTGAGGGGGGCTGGAGGAGGTGGGAGACGTCCCGGTGTGGCTGTGGATGCCTAAAGTCTCCATGTCTGCAGATTCCACTAGCGTGGCCATGCCGAGTCTGTCTGTCTCCTCTTCCTCGCTCAGACGCGTTTTAGGTTCCCAACAGCAGCAGAACTCTGCCTCCTCCCCTCCAAGAGTCCAGACATGCGAGTGGAGCGGTGATAGGAGTAGCCCTAGCGTTTTATACCGGCAGACATTGTGTCATGCTCGGTTACCAGGGAGAGACCAGGGCGCACACACTCATTCAACAGCTGATGTCATCGGCGACGCCTCCGGAAGTCAGAGGAGGGATGCTTTTAGGCTGCACTCCCATCACTTTTCCCTCACATCAACATTTTAACAAAGAAACAAAACTTGAAATTATTATTTTGGGTTAAATTGGAACAAGTTTTGAACAAAAGTTAACGTGTTTTAAAAACCTAACTGAGCAAGGGAGGACTGAAACACGTTCAGAAACTGCATTGTGAGAAATATAGTTTATGACACCGTTTTATGTGTCCTTTGAGTTTTATAATCACATTACCAACGAAATACAAAAGGTGAGCCATAATGTTTTTGCATGTGTGTTTGGTTTTTCTGTCGGACTAGAAATCTCATGAACCACTTTATGAAACACACAGGAAGAAACGACTCAATGCACCTTCTGGATCTAATCAAATTCAAGATGGCCACCATAGTTACTCAATATCATACCACATAAAATGGCAATACATTTGCAGATAATAAGCTACAATGTAGTGCCACAGTAGCTAAAGCTGTCATTAACATGTTTTTTTTTTCCAACACATTCGCAGTGGTCCATCCATTGCTTGTCCAGACAAGGTCACAGGGGGCTGGTGCCTATCTCCAACAGTCTTTGGGCAAGCAGGAGGGGCACACCCTGGACAGGCCAGTCCATGGCAGGGCAACACAGAAACACACAGAACAAACAAACAAACAAGCACACACACACACACACACACACACACACACACACACACACACACACACACACACACACACACACACACACACACACACACACACACACACACACACACACACACACACACAAAAGGGCTATTTAGAGGAACCAATCAACCTGACAGTCATGTTTTTGGACTGTGGGAGAAAGCTGGAGTACATGAAGAGAACCCACACATGCACAGGGAGAACATGCAAACTCCATACAGAAAGATCCCAAATTGGGATTTGAACACAGGACCTTCTTGCTGCAAGGCAACAGCAGTAGTCTCTAGTATAAATGAATGACTTGTTAGTTGTTTTCTGTGGAGAAATGTACTGTGCTCCTTTAGCCGGAGTAGGAGGGATCAGAAAGAGGCAGGATTTGGAATCTTAGTCATTCATTTGATATTCAAACATCTCACCTCTGGTTGGCTAACAGCAACGCCAGGCTTCCACCAACTCTGTTAAATCTGCAACGTTTATTTCCAAATATGACACAAGCCTGAAGGAGTTAAGCCATGTTGTTGAGCTGCTAATGCTAATGGTTAGCTTCTACCAGCTCACACGTGCTCTGCTCTCTCCTGGACACTAAAACAACATCAGCCTTACGGGTTATAGCGTGTACCCCCTACCCACCAACACCAAGTTGATCCCCATGTCAATCAATCAATCAATCAATCAATCAATTAATCAATCAATCAATCAATCAATCAATCAGAGTAAAATGTAGCAATGACAATAAAACAGAAAACTGACGTCTCTTTTTATAGAATCCTTCATTTACACCTGATTTCACGTCCCTGTTCCAATAATCTGTTGTTAAATATTCCAACAGGAAGCTCTGAGGGACTCTTTGGTCACAGGAAGTCTTCACAAAACAAAAGAGCTGATCAGAGAGGAGGTTAAAGATGGTCAACTACAAACCAACAGGAAATGAAAAGGACTGAGATCACAAGCTTCCACTGCCATGCATTAGCTGAGTGGAAGTGTGATTTCCTTTGATGTAAACATTAAAGTTCTTCTTCCCAGGAGGAGATTCTAGTGCTTCAGTGAAACAACACAGGTTTCACATCTGTTGAGATTCAACAAAACAGATGTGTGTAGCGATAAAGCGCAACACGCAGACCACCTGCTCTGGCTCTGACTGATGAAGGCACATCGGGAGAGTCCTGAGGTTTCTGGGCCTGTGGGTCCTCTGGGTTGTGGCATGGGTTTGGGATTTGTGGAGATGGGAGGATGAATTTTTGCCCGAGGCTCGTTGTTTCGTTTGTAGGTCCTGCTGGTTGTTCTCTTGTTAGGGGTTGAGCTTCTTCACAGCAGCAGTCAGGCTGAAGGTGGGAGTCACAGCAAAATATCCTAACACACCTTTTCATGAACTCATCAGCAGTTAAATGGTTGCAGGTATAAACACATAAAAACGTGCACACAAATCTTGAATCTGAGCCAGGATTTCCCCGTGGCGGTCCTTATTGATGTGACAGAGGATGGATGGGGGTCACAACTGGTGCGTTATTGACTCTCTGGGCTGCTGAATGTGAATATTTCAGGGCTCATGTGGCCTGGTGGGCAGGGTTTGGTCGCTTTCTCCCAAGGCCACGGGAGGCTGTATCAAACATTTATTATACACCACCGGGAAAGAAGAAGGCATTAAAAATACAACAAAGTGCCACCGGAGGTCTCAGATACAGACAAGGAGGAGACGGATGAGTGTGGAGGAGGGGGTTGGTGTTGTTTTTGGGGTGGGGGGTGCTTGATGGACACGACTGTGAGGGTTTTTTGCTTGCATGTGTGTTTTTGAATTAGGCTGTCGAAAGCTGAGCATCTAAGAATTTAAAAAATTTAAAAGAGTTCAACTGTTTACAGGTCGGATCCAGATCTCCTTTGGCTCTGAGCCTCAGTGCTTCTCTGATGTTCTGAGTTAAGCAGAAAAACACTGAAATTTATTAATAACAGTCATTTGATAAAAACACAAGTACCCGTAGGCTTTTTAGAATATTCAAGGTTATTTTTCAATGTTTCAAATTTCACATATCCGAGCTGTGATTTCAGATCCGCTTCTTGCAGAGAAACCCTAAAAGCTTCTGGTGTTACCGTTGTAATGTCCGGTAATGGTCAGTTTTTAAGTGCAGTTTGACCCTTCAATATCTGGTCGACATGGAGACACGAGTCTGCCTGTGCTTCCTTTAATCTGCCGGATCCTGCATCCCATCAGCTGGCTCAGAGCCTCTCTGCAGCTCTGAACACATGATAACGTATCGTCAACAGTCACGTTCCCTCCTCAAGGCCCAAGCTTCCCTTATCGTTCTACAGGACTCTTCATGCCTATGAAAAAAGTGAACTCTCTCAGCTCAGATTAGTTGCTTAATCAAAGAATGAACTCTTAAATATAATGTGAACATTTAAAACTTATAGGTTAATTAATCATTAAAGAATAATTTGGTTGAGGAACAAATGTTATATGAACACTAAATGAAATGTTTTGATTAATCTGTGAAATGAATTTATATATGGATCAGTAATGTTTTTATATGACAAGGCCATCATCATCTACACTCACACAAGGCTCATCAAAGACAAAGTAAAGTTAAGTCAAACGCTTGACTCAGAGATATTTTCTTACCCACAAATCAGAACCTCTGTATCTGAAAGAAGGCATGTTTCTGTGATTCCTGGTAATGTCCCTTAACATGGCCCACTACGGTGAGTCAGTGTTCCAGTCGGAGAGTGTTCCAGCTCTACAGAGTTCGAAAGGAAGCTACGGAAGTGAAGTCTATTTAACTAAGAAGCAATCTTGACATGCCGCCAAGGTTGTTGCAACGCTGACACAGCAAACGGTTCCTGCAGAACAAAGCTGATTGTGTTCCGACTCCTTAAGAGTACCAGACGTGCGGTTCCATCCATCTGCCGTGACCCGAGGTCTGGACTGGAGAAGTCGGTGCTGCAGTCAATCTACTGGACCTGGGTGCCCAGAGGTCATCCGACCTCTCTGACCTTCGGATCCACGAAGAGGGTCTCTGAGAACGGGTGAAGTAGACACACAGATAGCGTCTGATGCCTTTTGATAATAATCAACTTCACAGCTTAACGCAAACCAAATTCTTTTACACCCAGAACTGCAAAAGTTGTCAACATAGGAGAAGATTATAGAAGTGGTAAAAAAAGGAACATGTCTTACAAATACGAGGAACGAAGTTAAAGATTTTTCCGTATCTGACAAAAGAGATGGCAAAGAAACGGGCCAGTTTCTGGGAGATCAGAGCTAAATTGAAGAGCACAGGAGTGAGACACGGTGTGGTCTTTCCAGCTACGTCGATCTTAACTTTTAAAGGTGAGACAAAACAGTTTCAGGAACGAAGTGAGGCTGAGATGTACTATAAAACTGTGACTGAGCCTGGACTTAAGAAACAATGACAATTGATAACAATTAAATAACAGCTAAACGGCATGAAGATGACTTTACAAGAAGAATCAGACTGAGAGCATTATTGTAGATCACGCTATGATTAAATATTGATTGAACCCACATATTTATTTATTTTTGTAAGATTTTGTCATGAGCTGGCAGAACGAAGCAGAAATTTATTTCATTACGATGTTAAATATTTGTGTGTGTGTGTGTGTGTGTGTGTGTGTGTGTGTGTGTGTGTGTGTGTGTGTGTGTGTGTGTGTGTGTAAAGGCTATATTGGAAGCTCAGTGTGAAATCATAAATAGAAGAAATTCAAAACAAATTTTAAATGGCTGATAACATTTTGTTGCAGAAAGGAGGGTTTAAATTAGCTCATTTGAATGTGTGTAGTTTAAAGAGCAAGTCACCCCCAAATCAACATTTTTTTGCTGATAAACTATATAAATGAGTGTCTGATCATGCTGTAGACAAATGTAGTCAATGATTTGGCACTTTAGTGCATCTTAGTTAAAATTTAAATATTTTGCCTAAAACTGTCAGCGATGCACCGTCGTAGGGCAAAAACTCTGCACTGAATTTGAATTTAAATCTGCCATCAATATTGGCTAAGAGGTACATTATGATGTTAGATGGTACATTATGATGTCACAATGTCGTGAGTGTGTGTATTTGTTAGCGGCTCAGCCCTCTTGGTCTGCTAAGCAACAGCATTTGTTGCATTTTTCAAACAGGAAGTGGGAGTTGAGTAAGAATCTGGCAGGGGATGACTTGCTCTTTAAGGAATAAAATAGATGATATTCAGAATATTGTACAAAAGTATAATTTACAGGTAATTGCAATAACAGAAACACATTTGGATTTGACTATAAATAGTTCTTTACTAAAAATAAATGGGTACAGTCTTTTTAGATTGGAT